TGACTTTTTCCTATTGCATTGTTGGAGCTCTTTATATATTCTAGTTATTGGTCACTTATCAGATGGATAGTTTGCAAATATCTTCTCCCACCCTATGGGTTGTCTCTTTACTTTGTTGATTGTTTCCTTTGCTGTACAGAAGCTTTTAAGCTTGATGTGATCCCATTTGTCCAATTTTGCTTTGGTTGTCTGTGCTTTGGGATTATTACTCATGAAGTCCTTGCCCAGACCAATATCCTGATGTGTTTCCCCAATATTTTCTTTTCACAGTTTTCATTTTAATAGTACCTAGAGTCTTATGACATAATATGCAAATTTTCTAGGATATAATCTAAAATTACTCAAAATACAAAAATAAAAATCTCATAAAATATGACTAATTCTCAAGAGAAAAGACAGACATCAACCCTGATATAACACAGATATTGAAATTTTTTCAAAGACCTTAAAACAACTCATGCTTAATGAGGTAAAGATAGACATTCTAGAAATGATTGGAAAGACAGATGCTCTTAGCGAAGAATTAGAAACTATTAACTGGAAGTTATAATATCTGAAATGAAAAGTCACTGGATGGTCTTAATAACACAATAAAGGTGATAGAGGAAACAGTCAGTAAACTTGAAAACAGATAAATAGAATTACCTAACCTCTACAACAGAAAGGAAAAGGATCAAAAAAATCAGTCTGAGTAAGCTGCGTGACATTATAAAAAATATCTAACATTCTGATATTGGAATTTCAAAAGAAGGGGGCTTGTGCAAAAACAAAATTTGATGACAAAATGGCAGAAAACACAAATTTGGTAAAAGACATAAATTTACATCTTTAACAACTTCAGAAAGACAAACAGAACAAACCCAAACAAAACTCAAAGAAAATCAAACCCAACTATACTATAATCAAACTACTGAAAACTAAAGATGAAGGAAAAAATCTTGAAAGTGGGCATAAAAAAATTACTAATTATACACGGAGGAAGAACAATTTGAAAGACTATTGATACCTTATCAGAAATCAAGTTTCTCAGAAGACACTGGAATAACATTCATAAAGTGCTGAAAGAACTGTCAACCCAGAATTTCATATCTAGTAAAAACATCCATCAGTAATGATGGCAAAATGCAAACATTCTCAGCTGAACAAAAACTAAGAAAATTCATTGTCAACAGGGCATCTCTAAGGCAAATGCTAAAGGAAATTCTTCAAACTAAAATGTTACCTGATGAAACCTGAAACTTCAGGAATAAAGAAAGAGTAACAGAAACGGCAAATATCTGGGTAATTATAATAGACTATTTTTCTTCTTTTGAGTTCTTCCAAATACATATAACTGTTGAAAGCAAAAATGTAAACATTGTCTGGTGGAGTTTTCAGTGTATGTAGATGTAAGACACATGACAACTGTAACATAAAAAGGGAAGCAGTAATTTCTACAGCAACTGCTAAAAATATATACAAAAATAAAAATAATAGATAAATTTAAATGGATTACTAAAAGATGTTCAAATAATAAAATTAAGGAAAGAAAAGGAGAACAGAGAAACATGCACACACACTAATTAAGGCACAATCAAAGCAAATAATAAAATAATTCCTATAAAACTAACTGTATTAGTCCATTTAGGTTACTATAACAAAATACCATGAACTATGTGGCTTATAAACAACAAATATTTATTTCTCACAGCTCAAGGGACGGGAAATTTTAAGATCAAGGCCCTAGAAGATTTGGTATCGGGTGAGAGCCCCAGTCTTAGTCTCTTTAGTGTTGTTGTAACAGAATAAATATCTAAGACTGGGTAATTTATAAAGAAAAGAGGTTTATTTGGCTCATGATTCTGGTAGCTGAAAAGTCCAAGATTGGGCAGTTGCATCTGGTAAGGGACTCAGGCTGCTTCCACTCATGGTAGAAAACAGAGGGGAGCAGATGTGTGCAAACAGATCACATGGCAAGAGAGGAAGTAAGAGACAAGAACCTAGGAAGTCAGACTTGTTTTAACAACCTCTTTTCATGGGAACTAATCCAGTCCTATGAGGGCAACAACTCCCTCCAGCCAGGGGGCAATAATCTATTCATGAGATCCACCCTCAAAACCCAAAAACTTCCCACTAGGCCTCAACTCCCAACCCTGCTATATTGGGGATCAAATTTCAATGTGAGTTTTGGTAGGGACAAACCATACCTAAGCTACAGTAGCTTGCTTCCTCATAGATGATAGCTTCTATGTCCTTGCATGATGGAAGAAGTGAAAGATCTCTCTTATGCCTCTTTTCTAAGGATTCTAACCCCATTCATAAGAGCTCTGCTCTCATAATCGAATCATCTCCCAAAGGCCCCACCTCTTGATACTATCACCTTGGCAGTTAGGATTTCAACATATGAATTTGTGGGGGAGAGGGTGGGCACAAACATCCAAATTATAGGACCAACCTTATCAAAGATTACATATGCAAACGGTATAAACACGTTAATTAAAAGACAGATTATCAGATTGCACTTCAAAAAAACTCATATGCTGCTATATTAATGTTAGCTGAATTTGAATATCCATTTTAATGTATGCACAATAAAAATGAAACTTTATCTGTGAATGAGGCGAATCATGTGTAAATTACCTTCTCTCTAATTTTAGAAGTTTATTTTATTTTATTTTTACTTAAATATCCTTTAAATGTCTGGATGGGGTAGCTCTGCTCAATAGCAAACTTGGCCAGACTCACTCAAGCCACTCAAAGGGCTCTATGCATTAACTACTCAATAGCCATTTACTCTTCTTCCCTGTTAACAGAGCTCCGATTTTGTTCAGCCTCCAAAGAAGAATCAGTGGTCTAAATGAATTGTAAAAATCTCCTTACTTTTTGCCAGTTAATGACCTACAGACACACATGTGACTTAGTTTTGGCCAATGACATGTAAGAAGTCTGTTGGAGGCATCTAGGAAATAAATACATTTTATTTCTGGAAGAAGAGAGAAAAGTCTTTTCTTGGGGTGGGGGGGCTGCAGACATGCCCTTGCTTTATGTTATTTTGAATTCTATTGTGTGAGAAAGCGACACTTTTGAGCTGTGGTAAGCATGACTACCATGAAGGGAGCTGAGTGTGTCAGAGAAGACAGGTAAAAGGAGTCTGATGAACCAACCCTAACAGTACCTACTCTACTACTGAACTTCTTATCAAGTAAATAAGAAATATACTTACTGGGTAAGCCACTGTTGGTCACACATTCTGTTACCTGTAGTCAAAATTGACAAGTGAGCAGTCTTCTCTTTCCAAGCACAGAATGTCATGTCTGTACTTCTGTCCTTTCATCATTCTGTTAAAGCCATTGTCCTTTTACCCACCTCCCAGCCACTTAATTTGGAGGGAAGAGGGTTGGAGAATAACATCTTCCTGGAGACAATGAAAGTGTAAAGCAAGTGGCAGAGTACACTCATTTATTGCAGAATCAATAATACTGCATGGGTTGGGATTCATCATTCGGTTAATCAACAAGCATTTTATTGAGCACTTGTTTTATGCTAAGCTTTACGTTAGGTACCTGAGGTAAAAAAAATAAATGAGAAGGAGTTCCGTGTTTCTAGTGGGGATGACGGATAATATGCAAATAAACATATGAGGTCAGATTGTATTAGGAAGGAAAGTAGGCAGAGTAGGAGCATGTTGGGGGCTACTCTACACAAAATGATCAGAGAATAACAGCGATTTCAGAACTCTACGCAGAGCTGAATTTGTGGCCTTTTCCACTTCGAGAGGTAATTAGGAAACTTAGGACGTGTAAAGCCTTATTGAAGTTCCACATTAATAATGCAAATTCAAAGAGGGTAGTACAACCACCTTTACTTTGGGATACTCTCCTTTCCTTCCTTCCTTCTTCCCTTCCTCCCTCCCTCCCTTTCTTCCAAGCTACACCAAGAAAAATTTTTAATCTTATTATGAGATTAATAAATACGTGATAACAACAACTGTGGAACTTTGCTAAGCAGGGGAACTTGAAAGGTTATACAATGATGGCCAGATAGTGACAGCTATGATATAATAGATGGTGAAAAAAATTTAGAACAGAGAAGGAATGGTGACTTAAAGAAAATGAAACAGGACACGCGAGAGGAGCGATGGGCGTGGGGAAACAAAGTTATTAAGGCAACTGGAAATTTTTGTGGATATAATACTGAGGTCAGGAAATACTTTAGGGTGGGGCAGAAACAACCTGATTCATGACCTTATTTAGAACAGGAAGAATATGGAGTTCCCGCCATTCCCAGCTCAGCGAGACTGCGGAGCCTGTGAGCAGAACGCCTTAGGAGTGGTACCAGGTTTAGAACCACAGCCTTCATTTTTCTTGTCTGCGGCTCTTACCTAGGCTGGGAGATCTGAAACTCAGGAGGGGCAGGGCTCAGGAACCTGGAAGTTAGTAAAGTCCAAGTTGTTCAGGAAAGTTCCAATGTGGCTGCCCCGAAGGTCTCACGGGGAAACACTGCCGAGTTCTATTTTCCAGGGCATCTGCTTCCTCTCTAGCATTGCAGATGTAATCATAAACACAAGCCAGTTGCAGCCACAATTTCTCGTTCTAGCGTGAACCCTGTGACTCCTGCAAACAGTCCTCACGCTACTAGAAACCCCGCCCCCGTTCGTAACCATAGGAACGGCTGCCACGCCGGGAGCTGGAGGTACCTTGTTCCGCCCCCTCCCTGACAGATATTGTTTCTCACTGTCTGTCCACATGGGCGCACCGCCTCGCTATTGGTCCGTGCCCCAGGCCTGTGCCTTGCCCCAGCCAATAAACGACCTGTGCACGTGCACGCTTGCGTCTCCCGATTGGCCAACACTTCCTGATCACGCACTGCCTTCCTGCGCCAGCCCACGCCTGGGAGCGCCAATGAAATGACTCAGTAGCCATTTACAACTAATCGGCAAGAAGCAGGGCTCACAGCTGGCCAATGGGCGCCCTCTGGGAGTGGGCTGTCCCGGCCCCTTTTCAGTCCCAGCTGGGTTTGTTAAAGCGACAGGGCCCAAGGCGTGCTGGTGCTCCACCAGGTACCTCACAGGGGCCGCGGCAGCCCTCAGCGTGCGGCGAGCGCCCGTGACAGCGGCGCTGCGGGGCTCGTGACCCCGGCTCCGGGCCTCTGCCGACCTCTGTGGCGGGGCCGCGTCGCCCGGCAAGATGGGCGGCGAGGCGGGGTCCGCGGCGGCCGTGGGCTCCGAGGGCCGCGTCAAGAACCTGGGTCTGGTGTTCGAGGACGAGCGCAAGGGCTGTTACTCGAGCGGCGAGACGGTGGCCGGGCACGTGCTGCTGGAGGCGGCCGAGCCGGTGGCCCTGCGAGCGCTGCGCCTGGAGGCCCAGGGCCGCGCCACCGCCGCCTGGGGCCCGAGCGCAGGCGTCAGCGCCGCGACCCCGGCCGCCGCCTCGGAGGTGGAATACCTGAACGTGCGCCTGAGTCTGCAAGAACCCCCTGCCGGTGAGCGCAGGCGACCGCCTGGGTCTCCCCACCAGGCTGTGGCAGGGCCAGGGAGGGGCTGGGAGGGGGCGCGCCGGCGGGATGCCCACCTGGCAGGTGGGCTCAGGGCAGGCTTCTGGAGGTGGGGGCTGCCCCGTGGACGGCCGGAGCCTCGGTGTGGTCGCAGGTGAGTGGTGGGTAACAATGCCTCTGGCCCAACCTCACGGCAACCGAGAGAGGAAGAGCTAGGGTGCTCAGGTCTACCTGGCGCGCTGCCCCTGGCTCACCCGGGCCTACCCAATACCAGGAGTCTCTGGATCTTCTAGAACAGCGAACGAAGGGTGTGGGCCATTGGTTGCCATGGGAACCTCCGATTGGATAGCGGGGGATCTGGGATCTAGGTCCTGGTCCTTGTGGCCTGAAGAATGGAGGGCGGAACCAGTGTCTTTGAGGTTCCATTCTGGGGGGCCCAGTGCTTGATGGCTTCCACTCAGACCCAAACGGGACCTAGATATTGGTTCTTGGTACATGATGAATTAGCAGAAACTCAGTCTTGGGAAGAGGGAAGTAAGCAGTTCCTGAGGATTAGGAGTTCAAAGGAAGTGTTTCTAGGCTTGACCATCATGCTTGGTTTCCCTCTTCTGGGGAGCAGGACAACTTAGAGTTCTGCCTCTATCTGATACTGCTGCTTTTTCCTTCCTTTGCATCCTCTTCCTCCCCCCTGTTCTCCCCACCCCACCTCACCCCTACCAAAAGGCCTTTAATGACAGTACCGCCTGGGCGTTTCTGGATTATCCTTCTTGTTCATTTTTATGAGGTCCAGTTAGTAGTGTAGATTTTCCAGAAGTACCCATGTGAGGACCCACTGTGTGGGTGTTCCATTAATATTAGGTACAAAAATTGATCTCCTTAATCACAAAAATACTAGGAACGGTGGATATTAGTCTTCTTTCAGTGGGTGGAAGCTATCTTTCAGTGGATGGAAGCTATTTTACACTTTGACCTTGCTGCCTCATCAGCAAATCAAATGAAATAAGGGTATGTACCCTCCCTCCTTGAAGAGTAAAATGCATTGTATGTATATACCTAACCCTTGCTATGTCTTACACAAAATAGAATGTGCCGTTTTGCCTTATCCTACTATGAAGAAGTAGACTGTCCACAGTTAAATCCTCAAAGTTTGTGATAATCCAAGTGATCCTAAAATTGTAGTGAGGAAAACCATATTTGGAACCCAAGCTTTCTTTTGGGTAAATAAGGAACAGTGTGTTAGGTGGCAGTTCTCACCTGCCTCCAAGCCCTTTCATCAGTGTGATGTCCAGATCAGCCCATGCGTGCCTCCCCCAGTGGTAACAGACCACACAGATTTTCAAGATGGCTGAATGGTGTAAAGACCATGGAAGAGAGATTTCTCCAGGACTTTGGACTTTCTGTATCTCTGGGCCCATAACTACTGAATAAATAAATGTAGATTAAAAGCAGTTGAATTTGGGATTAGCAGTGAAAATTTGCTTTGGTAACATCTGGGCTAACAAGTAGTTTTTTGATTCACAAGTCAAGTCTCATTTTTTCATCCTGATGGAATGGAATGTCTAAACCTAGACAATTTGTAAATCTTCAACTTGCTTTAGAATTTATCATAACAGATATTGGCAACAATTCTATTTTACTTAAAATCCTAGTCTCTTTTATATGAGGGGGAAAAAAATCACTCCTAACATATCTATACCTTGGAAGAAGTTAGTAATTTAACATAGTCATAGATTCTCAGGGTCATTTAATTACAAAGCTGGCTGTATTTTAGTCACTTGTAGAGACTTTTAGAAATCTAGGTATCTGGGAAATGTGGCCCTGGGATTTATTTTCAAAAACTCTCCCCAGATCATTCTTTGACATGTTAATCTAATCCAACTTCTTGCTATCATTGTGATTGATTTTCTTCATCTTTTTATTGAGGAACTATGGTAAAAAGACAACAAGACAAAACCAGAGAATTTTTTCAGCTCTTGGTCACCCACCAGCAGTGTGACCTTATGCAAGTCCCTCACCCTTCCCGAGCCCCAGTCTCTACCTCTGTAATGGTTCTCTGGATCCTACAGTTCTTGAAAAAGCTTTTAATTATGAACTTTGGCTATAAGACCATTAGCGAATGAAACATCTCCCTGTGACTTTATAGTCCTCAGTGTACGAGACAGAAGTAATGAGCCATGAGAACAGAAGCAGCAATAGGCACATGATTCAGCTTGTGAACCTTATTAATTTGAAACAATAAAAATTAAAAAGAAGGAAAGAAAACAAAGATTTGATTCTGAGTACTATAACCCATTTTTATCAGTTTTTCAATTTTTTTTTCCTGTTTATGTTTTGAGATGACTGGAAGTCTGATTTTAACTGGTATAGTTCCTGTGTTGATTTGTTTCCCTGTGAAAGGGGAACTTCATCTCTCTCTCTTATCCTCTTTTAATATCCTGGGCAACTCTGTTCTGGACACATTCCTGACATGCTCTTCCTCATGCTGTTCCCTTCATCTAAACCCCTTCCTACTCATCTCCATTCCAACCCTCAGGTTCTTGAGGTGTCAGGCCCACCCACATTCCTATGTGGATGCTCTACGTTCTAGCACTGTGTGGTCATTACTTGTGTACAAATGTCTAGTCCCCTTTCCGCCCCTGGTCTGTTTGAGGATTATCAACAGTACCTGAAATCTAAGCAAAATCTAAATTTTGAACTCAAATGAAATCCGCATTTTTAAACATTTTTAAATACCTGTACTTGGTCATGTTCTGTAATCTAATGATTATAAATTAGAACTTTAGTCCAGCTCTCCGAGGAGCATTGGGATTGCCTTGAGCTTTTCACTTGATCGCTGTAAAGTTGAGATGCTTCCCTGGCTTCCAGTTCTCTCTCTCTCTGCTGGGACACTTCTGAGCACACCTAGCCCCTGTGTTCACCCTAGCACTGTCATTTATCATGATCTCATGTCCCTGTGACTTATTCTTGTTCACTTTGCCTCCAAGTCACCCACCTGTAGAGTATTTCTATTCAGATGGTCTTTAGTGGCACCTATGTTACTTTCCCCCCCCGCAATGTATTACACATTGAAAATTGAGGATAGATTCAGAACACTTTGTGGGCCACTATTGTGTTCCTATTTTCTAAAAGTACAGGCAAGGTTGGAATGTTAGCTGAATGGTTTAAGTTCATAAAACTCTAGTATTTAAGTGAGAAAAAAAAAGACATCCCATTTCAGTAGTGATTTCTGCCCTTTAAAATTGTTTTCAATGAATGGATAAAGTGGAGATCTTAATTTTAGTGTCAGGTGCCCAAGCAAATCTCTGACAAAGTTCTCTCTCTGTGCTCCCCCTTCTTCTTCTTATTTATCTGCCCTCCATCCCCCCACAGTGAGGGAATTTAGTATTAAATCTGAGCATTCAGTGAAGGGAAAGTTTACAAGTATCTCAAGAGAGCCACCCGACCCACAGTGAAACCATGGGGTCTGCTTTGGATCTGAATTAAACAGATTGTCTATGTACATTCATTAGAGGTTCCAGCGGTGCCTCTGGCATTACACAGTCCCTCCACACCCTGCATTTTGGCCTTCTCACAATCAGTGATAAGCCTCTGCATCAGTAATGGAGCTGGCAACCCAAAGCAAAGGGCCATGGCTATGCTTGGTAAAGCCCTTAATCCCAAGTTAACCACCAAGAAACTCTATTCATCAGCAGAGCACTAGGGTAAATTTGTCTTGTTGGTTTGCTGTTTTGTAATATAATACCCACTATTAATATTCATAAATTTTTCACTTTCCTTTCCATCTCTGCCCAAAGAATACATAATGTGATTTTTGTGGTATACCCGAAATAAATCTTTCGCTAAATTAATTTTAGTCCAGTTTAATATTGGTATATCATGTTAGTATAATAGACTGGGGTAAACAATTGTGAATTTTTATACATACATACATACATCTATATACATGTGTACACACGTATAGATGTATGTTGGAGCTATGGGCTCTAGCACTTTATGGAAATTGTGTAATTGGTCTATTTGAGAATTGAATTGTGTGTGTATGTTATTAAAAACTGATTCAATTTTAATTCTCTAAATCTGTTTAATGAACTTTGGGAGCATACTGCATTATATAGCCAGGAAGACCTTCTTTAAAAATATGGTTGTAAAACCTCTTGATCTGATATTAACCTTAATTAAAATAAAATGTAATATCTTTTATAGGCGAAGGTATCATTTTATTACAGCCTGGAAAACATGAATTTCCATTTCGCTTTCAACTTCCATCTGAGTAAGTGAAACTATATAAGTTTGTGATTATCTTTCCCTGTGATATGTCTGTCCAAATGTATGGGTACCAGGTTATCTTCTAACTCCCAAGTATGCCTGTTTATGCTGAATAGCATAGTCCCTAGGCAGACTTACCCTGCCTATACTTTTTTTCCCCCAATCTAAAACATTTAAACCATGCTTTTCCTGGTTTTGTTTAACTGAAAAATAAACTTGTAAATTAACGTCTTTGGTTTGTTTCAGACCTTTGGTCACCTCATTTACCGGGAAATATGGAAGTATTCAGTACTGTGTGAGGGCGGTTTTGGAACGGCCCAAGGTACCTGATCAGAGCGTAAAGCGGGAACTCCAGGTTGTTAGTCATATTGATGTCAACACACCGGCATTATTAGTAAGTTCTTCCTTTTTCTCTTCCTCCTCCTCCTCTCTTCCTCCTGTCTTCCCTTCCTCCTTCCTTTCAGTAGTGTTATCTGTATTTAGCCAGTTTAGTGGTAGTCTGTCCTGTCACTTTCTGATGGTTTAGAAAATACAATCTTGTAACCCGTAGGCATTCACTACAAATATATGATTCTAGGTTGGGCAAATTACAAATTGTGTGTGTTAATACTATTGATTATGTCCCTGCTGTTCAGGGCTTCTTTTGCCAAAAAGTTACACAGGCTTGAAATGCATTAATAAGGCTTAATAACAATAATGCACACACAGAGAGTGGTTACTTTTACCAGAGCGGCCACATTCACAGGACTGTGATATTCTAAACTCTTCAATAATAGCAGGTTGAGGAACAGTAATTATGGAAGAGTATTAATCATGCTCAGCCTGTTATTGAAGCTCAGGCCATTATGCTATGTATCCTTCCATTTTGCATGTCATTTTCTAACATTAAGTAAGTGCATGCAGCTGCCGCCGAGATCCTTTCACTTATCATTTCCTTATGACAGATTTGGCCACATTAAAGCATTGAACTTCTAATAATCACCAGAAATACTGTAGACTGATAAGAAAGATCAGGCTATAAGTAACAACAGAATAGGCAAGATGGGAGCTAATGAGCTAGATTCTTTTATCTAAACCCATATTATCAAAATAATATAAAATTATACCTTGTACTTTCATGATAGCTACTAAGACCTAATGGTTCTTCATTTAAATATGAATGAATGATTTTTTACTTCATAGAAAATACTGAGATAATTTAAACTTTCCATTATGATACTGATGTGACAAAGATGTATTTTTAGTGTTGGAGGTTTCTTTTTCCAGCCAATGTTTTTAAAAACAAGGAAGAAGCCAGCAGTTAAAAGTTGTTTGACTCCTATTTTCACATGAAAAAGAAATAGAATTTTATCTAATGTTCACTTTTAGATTGTGAAAAGATAACAAATATGGTGTGGTTGTATGGTCACTTATGGCCAAAACCATAAAATAACCAGCACCCAGCTGCCCTGGTTTATAGCTACGACTTTAACAGCTGCTCAAAACTCATTTGAAAATGGGTGAAGCTAAGTGTCTTGTATTTGTATAAACTACTTAGAACCGGGCAGTTAAATATTTCTAAAGTCTTTGTGACCATTGTGGCAATTGATTTTTGGCAAAAACAGACACTACGTATTTTTTACTATTCTTTCTATAAATAAAGAAAAAATATTGCGGGTAACTTTGGGTTGTATAGGACGGTTTTGATGTGTGCAACTTTTAAACTAAGCATTGTAAATCTTGTGTCATTTCTCTTGTTACTATGGAATAGAATACTATAGTGGAGTGGTGTGTTTCATAACCTTTTTAGATCTGTTAACACTGGGTATGTCATTGCACCATTACACAAAATCCCAAAACTATTCCAAATTAAGGACACCTAAAATTTCTGCCTGATTA